ATGCAGTCACGCGACGTAATCGGTATGAAATAGCCCCTGAAAGATGGCGTTCGGAGACTTTTGGCGGGGGTCTGTATTATAAAAAATTTGACCTTAATTTTAGGGAATATTTTAATTTTCCACTGACTGTTAAAGCTATAATTTTATTTAACATGTTAGAATTATTTTATCTTAAAATATTTATTTATATATAACACGTATTGACATTAATTATTATTTATTATTATTAGTCATCTTATTAAAGTTAGATTATAACTTTTGTATAAATAGTCTATAGTTCAAAATTCTGTAATGAAAATCTAATAACGTAATTATGTTATTTTTGAACGAAAGTTTGAAGTGAAATTGCGATTTTAAAAAAAAAACTGATCACGGGACTTACGTTTCATTTAGACTTTTTTTGGTTTTACCATTTAGAACATTTTTCTTTCAAATGAAAGATTATATAATAAATAAAAGTATTAAGAAATACAAACGCGCTATAAAAGTTATCATACTGCATCACAAAAGATTATTAATACCTGCAAATTTAGAAGGTTAAATGTCACCTTAAATAAATCCGCCATTTCATCTAATTTTCAAAACCAAGGGTAATTTACACAGCGAAAAGTCATGAAATAAAAATTTTCACATTGAAATAATTGATTTTACAGTAAATTATGGAACAACCTATGCAGTTTCTTAACCCACGTGATCTTTGGCCGGCATTATGGAACTGATGAACAAATCTTTCCTAAAATGTTACTACCGTACCATAAAAGGGAAACAAAAACAAAAATTTTAATTTTTTGTACTAGTCATACGGATTCGTCATGTAACTTATAATCAAGGAGAAGATAAAAACAACAAGGTTAAGCATTTTCTTTATCTCTCACTTTCATTTGTTGAAAAGCATTTTATGCTTGGGAAAGAACAAAGGATTTAATGATTCGTGCTTGTGTACGTAACGCTATAATTTTGAAATAGTAAATGTTTTGAAAATGAGACTATCATAGAGGGAAGCAAAAACAAAATTTAGTTTGGATTTATGTTGTTAGTACTAATGATAGTTCCAATCATTGATACAGTTTTGTAAAGGACGAATATGATTCTATTTAGTAAATTATCTAGATAGATAAGAAAAATATCAAAGCATAATATGTAAAACAAAGAAACAAACAAAGGGTTATTATTTCGTGCTTGGGTACAAGTCAAGAGATCAGTCACTTTGAATACCAAAATTTCAATTATAAAAGCCCTCTCAAATAATCGGCTCATTAATTTTAACTTTTTTTTTTTTATTTTCCTTTGATAATGTATATAAAATAATATCCAAATTCTTACAAATATTTATTTTTGAATTAAATCTTTTGCCAGAATTATATCTGTATAAAAAGATTGTATGCCAATGTTTTTTATTTGCTTTTAAGAAATAATTAACCTGCAATCATGCTCCTTAAATTTTTTGTTTTGCTTTAATTCATGTTCTTTTCAATTTTTTGTTTCACTTTAATTCAAGTTCTTTTTATTTTTTGTTTCGCTTTAATAAATGAATTTTGAATTATTATCTGATGAGTTTGATAGTACACGTGATTATTATATAATGGCCGGTAGTTTCTGTAATTCCTTATATATTTATTATTATTAAGCTCTCTTTCATTTGATGAACTTATTTATTTTCATATAATATCTAAGATCTATGAATCAATAAATTGTATTTGCAAATATTTGGAGGCAGAGGATTAGTTATAAATTATATATGCAATTTCAACAAGATAACTATTTTTAATTAATTAAAATTAAATTTGATATTAATGTTTATATGCTTTAACGTGAATTTTTTTCATTTTCGCAGAATGGAGTACTTACTCGTACTATTTATCAGATAGATTCACTTAACTTCCAAGTCAAAGAAAATCCTAACTCTGTTCTACAATATGAAATTAGACATAATAGTGACTGAACTCTTTTGGGAATTGTTTAACAAGCTCAATTACATCAATGCTATGATATGTTATAAAATTCTATTTTAATCCAAATTTTTTGGTTTGTCGTATACTGTATATCTAATCAATTTAGAAGTTTGACGTGATTAGTCCGAATGAAAACAAGTTGGTTAAATGAGATATAATGTTAAATAGCACGGATGCAAGCTCATTAACTAACCTTTTTTTCCAAGTAAAAAGTAAAAGCATTTGCTGATGAAAATATTTTTATCAAATTAATTCACATTTGGTACGGCTGATGACCTCTAGAAGATCGTTAATACTTTCGCGAGAAAGCATTAGGGTTATGATTGACGTAGTACCGTGTATTTGTTTATTCTACACTTTTATTATAAAATTTTTTTTTTGATCTAGCTAGCATTATAATTGACCCTAGAATCTACAGGATAGAAACTTCTTGAAAAGAATATGTAGTCTAATTGGTGATTTTCATTGTTGGTATAATTTTTTTTTTAAAAAAATGGAAAGAAAATATGATAAAAGAAAAAAACTTTTTTCTCTTTTTTATTGCGTCTAATGTAAACAGATTTTGACACACGGAAAACCCTATATTGATCTCTTAATTAAACAAATAGATCAATTGATTCGATTTCGATAGTATACATAAAGATCATTTGACATAGTCGTGTATATTAATCGAAGCTTTGATAGATAACATATTTTGCTTTTATTAAAGACATCGCCTCTCTAATTATGGTGAAAATCGTTATACAATGAAAACAGAAGGTGCTGTAAGATGTGAAGAAAAGATTAATATTAATGGATCCCGGTTCAGATTGAAGGTAAGGATTCAAATGGTCTTGTATGGTAATTTATAATTTGACATGATTTAAAAAGATCTATCTAATCACTATTCACTCTTTTTATAAAATAATAAAGAACAAATCGAATTTAGTACATTGATGTCCAAAGTTTATTCATTTACATCTCGTGATCAAAATCTATGAACAATTTTCTAACGGAAGGTGCTACGGATTTTGAAATTGTGTATGTGTTGTATAATATATATTAGTAACTTTTTTTATTTCAATTAATAAATTTTCACATTTAGAGAATTACAAGTATAAAAAATAATTCCTGTGGGAAAATTTAATATTTCTAAAAATGGGTAAATTGAATTAGTTTTTGCAAAATTGTAAATAAGTTGCGTTGAAAGTAAATACTATCTAGTCAATTTGCTACATTATACGATTATAGGAAAAAAGCGCACTGGTGCTAGGGTGGGGTTATTTCAATTTCTGGCACCTTTTCTGTATGACAATAGCTTTTATTATTTCTCTTTTTATAACCTTGCCATTATTTATTTCTTAAGTTATATCTATTTTTCTTTACGTTTTTTTTCCAGATATTTTGGAGAAGATACTTTTGAAAAAAAGGACTTTTATGCTGAATCAAAACCTTTTGGATTATTGTTAATTACGAATTGTATCCAAAAGTCCCATGAATCAGTAACAATTACATTGGTTGGAAGTTTAAATGTAACAATGCCCTTTAAAATTTAATCTAACCCGATGATTTTAAGTAATTTCATACTAAGAGATTATGCTTTTCTTTTATATGAGCGCTTGGAATACCTATTAACAATGGTTATGCTTGTGTGGTACCATAAAAAATTATAAATGTCGAAGAGTAGGTGTTTCCTATTTTAATTAGTAATTGCTCATTTGATGAATTTAAAAAGTAAAAATAATCTAAGATTGACTTCACTGCGGTAGCTGCGTATTAGAAAATTTAGGTTACCATCTTTTGATTATTAAAAGATATTATGGTTGTATTTTCTAAATGAACCAGTTGAGCGAAATCGATTTCTCTAGACATTTTAAATCATTGATTATCATTTGACATTTTCAAATTTGTTTTTATTATATGAAAACTAAAGGGAAAGCACGCTTCGCCACATGACATGATAAATACACTAACTACCATAGCTTCGTCCAAAACAAAAGATTCTGAATAGAAAATTTTAAATCAATAGTGAAGTCAGGAAATTAAAAGTAAAAGCGGCTTAGGCCATTAATTTTATGGGATAAATAATATCATAGAAGAAACAAGATATACTATAAACTATCAAAAGAACTTCGACGTACATTGGACATAGGATAAGTGAACACATATTTTCACACTTGCTTGCGAATAGAACTAAACGAGAGGATACTTCTTTGGTCCTTAAGTTCAGGGAGTGAATTCGCTGACCAGCAGATTTAACTAAGGCATTAGTGTTCTATATATATTTAAGAAAAGAAAAGGGGAAAAAAAGAGTCAGAGAAGAATCGAAGCGTACATCCAATGTAGTTAGTAAAAATAATCATCAGAATGAAGCTACTAGACTACCTTTTAATAAGTGTCGGCATTGTTACTGTGTTCACCTTCTAAATTAATAGCCTTCTTTAACTCAAAGATGATTCGGATATGTTTCTCTTGTGCTTGGGAAGCGATGGAATGCCCGTCTATAAAAAATTATTGAATGAGTTCTGTTTGCAAACAAATATCCTAAAGGCGGTTTGAATAAATGCGAGGTCTAGGTTGAATTTCTTCTGAATCTCCTTCTGAACTTCTTAATCCAAGGGTTGATTTGAAATGTTGGTTTTAAACGAAATATGTCTGATGAAAAAATTGGGAAGCGTGATTTCTGTAAAGCCTTAACGAGGGTGTAATCTTAAAAGAGCCTAAGCGTACGACTTTCGTTAGCTGTACCTAATATCATTAGATATATTAAAATAAGATTATGTAAATACATATAAAAGAAGAAACAAAAGAGAAACTATCTAAGCTAAACTAGTAGAAGCACTTCGACGCAAATTGGACATAGGACAAGCGAACCCATATTTTCTACTTGATTTGCCAATAGTACGAAACGAGAGGATACTTCTTTCTATATTTTTGGTCCTTAAGTTCAGGGAGTGAATTCACTGACCAGCAGATGTATCACTTTAACTAAGGCCATTTATGTTTATTTTTTTTTTTTTTTTTTTTTTTTTTTAAAAAATGAAATAAAGAAAAAGGAAATTATAAAAAATAACAAAAGGAAGGAGCGTAGTCCTAGACTACCTTTAATAAGTGTCGGCATTGTCGCTGTGTTCACCTTCTGAATTATTAACAAGGGCGTAGTCTTAAAAGAGCATAAGCGTACGACTTTCGTTAGCTGTACCTAATATAATTAGATAAATTAAAATAAAAGTATGTAAATACATATAAAAGAAGAAAAAAAAGAGAAACTATCTAAGCTAAACTAGCAGAAGCACTTCGACGCAAATTGGACATAGGACAAGCGAACCCATATTTTCTACTTGATTTGCCAATAGTACGAAACGAGAGGATACTTCTTTCTATATTTTTTGGTTCTTAAGTTCAGGGAGTGAATTCACTGACCAGCAGATGTATCACTTTAACTAAGGTTATTTGTGTTTATATATTTTTTTTTTTAAAAAAAATGAAAAAAAGAAAAAGGAAATAATAAAAAAAAACAAAAGGAAGGGAGCGTAGTCCTAGACTACCTTTTGATAAGTGTCAGCATTGTCGTTGTGATTCACCTTCTAGTTTGTCAGTAAGTTCTTGCAAAATAACAATTTCGAGTTGAAGAAAAGATTAAAAGATTTTATTTGATCGAAAATTTGCGATATATATTATTTTACGTGGGAAAATTTTTCAAAAAAAATGATTGGTTGGAATGTGATACAATAAATTCCCTTCTCATGATCGACATTTATTCGTCAATTACTGAGGTAATTTATCTTTAGAAGATAGGTTGGTTAGATTTTATAGTTTTCTTTATAATTACTTTATGATATTCCTTATGGCGTCTTGGTTATTAAATTTTTCAGGAAATGAGCGTTGATATTTTTAACTGAATATGCTAAGAGAAGAAAATTAATGAATTATAAAATTTGAGAAGATTTTTGCGGGTGATGTTAGTAATTATTCTCTTTCTCTTTAACCAGATTATTCTCGATATTGTCTTCCCTTCTATTATTGCATTAATTTGTAGGTTCTTTTAGATCTTAAGATTAGATACGTTTCATCTTCTAATCAAGAAGAATTTAGGTACTGTCAAGTCTCTTTCAATAACATAACTGATGTGGTCGATCCTAAGACAGGTAATTTTACACGTTAATAATATTTTTTTCTAAATAAAAGTATATATGAATATCGATTTTCTGGATGAAGAAGATATTATCAACCCAAATTAAGAACACTTGCGAATAATACACCTTTCTCCGATTATAAATAATAACATTTACAATCTTACAATTATTATTGATAACAATATATTTTTCGTATATAAAGGTCCAAAGCAAGTAAGAAATATACATCTTTAAATACCAGACAAAAATTTGCAATAGTACAGTCAAACTCTGAAAATTCTTTGGTTTGGACATATTTCGCACACAGGTATGGTTTTTCATTAATTCAATGTGCTGCAAAAATTATACATTAATTTGGATCGAAATAAGTATTATTATTAACTATGTACATGAAATTGCATCACCTCCAGCATTGCGTAAAAAAATAAAATTTGATAACGATGGTTTACTTTTCATTAGAGTTAAGTTGACGAATGGAATCCCTTATTACAATGAAACAACCAAGAAAGGTTATAAAAGGCTAGAAGATGCATATGATAAAACTCGATTAATTGGAGATGATGCTTATAAAACCTCTAGATATTGATGACAAGGTTTCTAGATTTTGCAACAAAATACCCTTTCATTTCATAAGGAAGAATGTCGCATAACGAATGTGAGAGCTTGGTTTGTTGCAGCACAATATCGTATTACATTCAAATATCATGAAAATAATACGGTGAACGGTTTGGTATAATGTTGTGGCTGAAATTGATTTTCGTCTGAATTTGGAATTCAGATAATCTTCGAGTGTCTGAAATTGAGATTCCAAGTTCAGTTAAATTAAATTGGAATTTGTTATCTAAATTCAAACTTCAGACAACTTATAAAAAATCTATTTTAACCAATCACAATATGTCATTTTTTTTTTTTTTTACAATTTCGTAAATACAGTTAACTTTAACATTTTATATTTCAGACTATTAGCTTTTAGTTGAATTATAATATAGTTTCTTGCATTTATTAATTAAATTTTATAGAATTAAATTCCAATATTATTTTTATTTTTTTTTATGGGTTATTTTCTTTTTCTATTTTCTTTTTTTTTTTTTTAGGATTTTTGAGCACATACGGGCTGCTGCTTAATGTAGGTTTTTCATTTTCATTTTTTCGATTTTTTTTTTTAATTTTTTACTTTTTTTAATTCTGATTTTTTTTTTATCGGCTAATAAATAAGTTCATTTTTTTATTTTATTTTTATGCAGGTTTTCGACCACATCGGGTGCTGCGTCAGTTTCATTTTCATATATTTTTCAGGTTTTTTTTTTTTTAACTTCAGTCCGAAGTGATCCAACCCTGAAAAAGAATAATCATTCAAACATTCAAATAGAATAAAATGTTAAAAACATTTCTTTTTTTTCTTTTTAAAACAGCGGAAAGCAAATTGAAAAGGAACTTCTACTTTATGATTACCTGTATAATTATTCTATTTTGAAACTGAGACAATTTTTAAAATAAAATTACTTAACTTTTATAAATATTTTTATAGAGAAAAGGAATGTTAATTTTTTATATTATAATAAAGTAGTAAAAATAAATAAATAAAAGAAACAATTAAAAATCATAAAAATTTTATTAATTAAAATAAATTGCTTATATATTATACATATAGATAATAGATCCTTCATATTACTTTAATTTTAATTTATAAATACATAATTTATATAAATTTAGATTTTATCTGAAGTTCAATTTCAGATATCTCAATTACAGACAGCTTCATATCTGAAATTCAGATTCTGTCTAAGTTCAATTTCAGATATTCCAATTTCAGATGGCTTTATGTCTGAAATTCAGATTCTATCTGAAGTTTAATTCAGACATTCTAATTTTAGATAGCCTCATATCTGAAATTCAGATTCTATTTAAGTTCAATTTCAGATATTTCAATTTCAGATGGCCTTGTATCTGAAATTCAGATTCTATCTGAAATTTAATTTCAGACATCCTAATTTTAAATAGACTTATATCTGAAATTCAGATTCTGTCTGAAATTCTATTTCAGATATCTCAATTTCAGATGGCCCTCATATCTAAAATTCAGATTCTGTCTGAAGTTAATTTCAGATATCCTAATTTCAGATAGTTTCATATCTGAAATTAGAATTTAACTGAAATTAAAATAGTTATAAAGAAATTAACCAATAAGATCATGATTAAAATTGAAATTCAAATAACAAAAAAAGTAGAATTCCAATTTTAGTTAACTGATCTTTGAATCTCAATTTTAGATACTTAAAGCTCATCTAAATTCCAACTTCAGACAAAAATAAATTTCAGTTACAATATTACAATCTTAGATCTGAAATTATTCTTTAATTTCAGATCTACAATAAAATCCATAGAATTTAATTATGAAATCTAGGATCTATAATTATTAATTAACATACAAATTAAATTGCGTAAAATATAATTTGTATAATATTATACATGTATTTTTACCAAAACTTTTGTAAAATAGAATCACATCAGATAATTATATAACTAGCATGAGGAACTTGCTACTCTTCAAGCAATTGCTATACTAATTTACTTTTATATAACTCAAGTTTTCTTATCAAAATTCAAAAATGCAAAATGTTTACCAAATTTATTTATTTCTTGATGCTTATAATCTGTGTTATAGCTGCTATTACTATATATATTATAGTTGCAGAAATAGTGTCTAGTATTAATGATATTTAAGGTATAAATCTCAAAAATTAATATATGCTTTCTGGATACAATAGCTGCTTGACATTCAATATGAATTCACCAAATAAAAAAGTTCTTATTCTTCAAATAATGTTTGGTATTTTAACATGATTAATTTGATGGTAAACTAAGAAGTATTGATTATTTAATATTTGTAAACTAATAATCTACTAAATAATCATCAGTTAATCCCAATCCTTCTTATTTTGATTTTTTAAATTTATGATTGAATGTGTCTGTAAGAATAGTAATCACAGATTTGACATATAATATCAATATAAACAGATTTTTTCTCTTATAAAGGTCATTTTTTAATTGCTCTATTTACTAAGTAATTTATGAAAAGTTTCTATATTTATTTATGACTATATATATATAATGAAAAGTACTATTTAATAATTATTTTTTTTATTATATTAAATGATATTATTTAATACTACAGTTTATATCAAATAGATATTGGTATCAGATAATTCTACTTTATATAGTATAAGCTATGATTATTTCTAAAAAGAAAAGAATAGGTATAAATTTAGATAGCTTTATATAGAAACTATAGGACTATTTTTATATGCAATATATTAATATTAATATCAATTTCAATTTCAATTTCAATATCAATATCAATATTGATAAGAATAATAGTTATTTATATATGATTTTAAAAAAATTGGAATATACGTATTACATAAATAATTAAAAAAAGTTTGTTTATAATTTTATTATATAATAATAAAAAAATAATGATTACAATTATTAATATTTAAGTAATAATAAAATTAAAAAATTTGTTAAAATCTTATATTGCGATAACAAAAATCCTATTTTATCTAATAATTATAGTCAAAGAAATAAACTGATCTAACTTAAAAAAATTAAACAAACAATCAAATAAATAAGAAAAAATAATTAAAATTAATAATTAAAATTAATAATCAAAATAAAAAAAAAAATTAGTTAGCTTATTTTTATTATAATGATAAACTAAATGGTTGTATTCAAAGGTTCTATTCAGTTTTTAGCCTAAAAGATGATAAAGATGACATTGTTCTAATCTAAATATATAAGAATAAAAAAAATTAAAAAAAAAAATTTATTTAATTAAAAATTATCAGTTTACAAT